AGAGAGAGAGAGAGAGAGAGAGAGAGAGAGAGAAAGAGAGAGAGAGAAAGAGAGAGAGAGAGAGAGAGAGAGAGAGAGAGAGAGAGAGAGAGAGAGAGAGAAAGAGAGAGAGAACGGAAAGGTTTTTCTATCTGTAGAGAATGAACGTTTCTAGTTACTCACGTTTCAACATTATTGTGACCGTTCGTTCTTTTGTATTGAATTGTATATTTTTAGTTTCCAACCTCACTGCGAGGCTTTTTTTCTCATATATATTTTAACACATACATATACATTTATATTATATGTATAATACTCTGTTTTACGAACACGCTCGTCGAATAATCTTTAAGATGTGATGTCTTTCTCGGTGTAATGCGCATTGAGCATTTTTTTAGAAAATGGAAATGTACAGTGGAAAAGCTATTTATTATTATTATTATTATTATTATTATTATTATTATTATTATTATTATTATTATTATTATTATTATTATTATTATAAAGCTGTTGAAAATCGTGGTGGCCTGCCAGTTGAGTTTTCTCTCGCCATCAAAATGTCCTGATCGCACGCTTTATGAAGAACAAACAGAACAGACGAATGAAGGCAGCAAACACAAGAAATAAACAGACTGACCTGTTCTTAACGATCCAGTAATCTTTCCCATCTTGGGTGCCGTATCCCACAGCCAAAACAGCATGGTCCAAGTCGGTAGTGCTGCACCCAAGCTCGTCATACACACCACCGCTGTATTGCTGGAAGCTAGGGTGACTGGCGTCAATGGCAACGCTGATGGGACCCACCTAGTAGAGAAAAATAATATTGAGCTAAGAACTTCCTTAACTGTGACAATGTGTCATGTCATTTGTTTTTTGTCTGGGCCACGAAAGGGTGAGAGGGAGAGAGAGAGTCTTAAACAAAACGTCACAATGAAAGTAAACATTTTATTAAAAAGTCTTGATATTTTTTATAAGATCATTGAACAGCACAGGAAAATCGAAAAGGAGATCCATACCAGTGACCAAGTAGTATAGAGAAATAATGTCATATTTACATAAAGGAATGTACTACACTAGCCGTGCCATCAACTAAGTGCTATGCAAATAGGAATCAAACGTATTACAAATTATAAAAGCTGAGAGAGGTAAAGTGACGGTAGACAACTGGGAAAGAGAGAAATAGTACAAGAGGTAGAGAGGGAGAGAGAGGGAGAGAGAGAGAGAGAGAGAGAGAGAGAGAGAGAGAGAGAGAGAGAGAGAGATGTGGGAGTGAGAGGGGAAGGGGAGAATATGTCAAGGTGTGAATGTGTCTAATCACCTACTGAAAATAAAAACATCATGTTATCGTTCTGAAACTTTATTTAATGCCCCCTTGATGTTTTCTGTAACATCCAAAAGACCAACACTGACAATGGTTTAAATCCTAGGCTTTTTAAGATTTCTCCAAAACAAGAATATGTGTGTTAGAATATTATATTAGTGGGGGTTGGGTATGTGCATAGGGCTGGAAACAGGGAGGTAGATACTGGTATAGAGGTGTTATTTATGAAGCAATAAACCATAGACAAGTGTACCTCGGCAACAGCCTTTTGAAGGGCATCCTCACTACCGCTTGTTACGTTTACGTAGGCCTGCGCTGTGGCACCTACTCCCGCCCGCTTGAAGTGGCAGGGACGGTCTTCTGGCTTGTATGGGTAGCTCTCTTCAGTGTCAATACCTTTGTTGTCAATTACGTACTGGAATGCTCGCACCTCGAAACCTCCACCACAGCCGTAGTTTCCTTAAGACAATAAGAGCATACATTGTAAACTTATCAAGTAATTGAGATATTAGGTACTCAATGTAGTTTTGTCAGACGTAGTCTTTGACAAAAAACAACAACAACAACAACAACAACAACAACAACACACACGCACAAGAGAGAAAAGGGGCCATTTGTGAGATGAAATGTCAGAGGGGAGCAATGAACAAGACAAAGACAGAATGAGGTAGCCAGAGATACAGTAAGAGCAACAGCAGTCTTCCGTCTTCTTTGACAACAGAGAAAACAAAAGTTTTGTCACATCTCAATAATGCTCTCAGACCAACCAGCAACGGAAGCGTAAACCACTAGACACTCTGGCTGGAGAAACAGGGAGAAACAAAGACGTCGTTGGACTCACTCTGTAAAAGACACCGACAGAGCCCACGACTTGACCCTCCTCCAAGAAACTCGACTTAATGCTTACAGTTACAGACGATTGTTTCTCCAGGCGACAACTGCATGTACACGTACCAGGAAAAGGTAAAGTACTGGTAGCTTTGCT